CCCGCTAAATTTACAGCCGGCGCGCGGCCCTACTTTTTCAGATACGAGTCCCGGGGAGGAGTGGCGTCGCAGAAACTTGAGTAGGTAACGCTAAATATATGCATCGCGTCGTTTTTTGCCGTTTTTTTCTAAAATTCCAGTTTTAGCCCTTTTCGACACTTCTGCAATCCCAGTTCATGACTTATTCGCGTTCCCCTCTACATTTACTCGACCACCGTCGAGTAGGTGTTACTATATACAGGCATCGAAATGCATGCGTCGAAGGTTCCTTTTTTTTTCTTGAATATAGCGTTCTGAACTCAGTAGGTAGGTAGATAGGTAGCAAGGCCGCCGGAATTTTTTTTTCACTTTTTTCTTTATTATTACTTTTCGATTTCACTTCAGCCTTATCATATTATAACGAACATTTTACGATTTTTTCGAGTTTCACCGTCGAAGGCTTATTCGCGTTCCCCGCCAAATGTATAAGTCAGTACTTCGCTCGAGTCGAGTGCCGCGGAGGAGATCGGAGAGCGGACAGTGTCGTTATTACTATATACGGAAATGAAAATATGCGACGAAAAGTTTCAATGTTTTTTTCGCGTTTTTTTTTTCGTCATATAAATATGATTAACGGAAACGTCATCAGCTTATCGAGTTTTGCTTCTAAATCGCTCTACTACCTACTAATTACTATAAACGACAAAAACTATTAAACGTGGCCGCCCGACTTGCTAGACACTCAACAAATCACGGCGACTATATTATGACTAGCACGGGCGCCCGAAATGTTATTATTTATATACATTTGATTTACGTCATTTGGCGTTTTCATGCCTTGACCCGGACGTCGCACTATCCGACGAAGTCAGATTGCCTACCAGGGTTGCTACGTCCAACGTCGAGGAAGGTGACTGACCTGCTAGACACCAAAACATATACCAATTTCTTTACTTAATTTTGCGTCAGAAGTCACACGTTGTCCGCTATCCGACGCTAGACCCTAGATCCTGCTAGACCCTAAAACATATTTTCGCGTAATTATACGTCGAGGAAGGTGACTCGGTAGTCGGATTGCTTACGAAATGTTTTGAATTTTTTTTCACGTATTTCATAACTTAATTTTGCGTTGTCGGTGACTGCAATGGACGCTGTCCCGGCCGCACATTGCCTACCCGGATAACATAGATGACTGACCTGCTAGACACCGAAAAATCAGACGGTGGCTATATGATTTGAATGGACAACCGAAATATTTTGAATTTTCTTCACGTAATTTATTCTTTAATTTTGAGTTTTCGGTAACAGTAATGAACGTTTTCCGCGATTCGACGCAGTCGGATTGCATACGTGATGACGTGACCCGGCCGTCGCACATTGTCCGCTATCCGTCCAAGTCGGATAGCCTACTCCTATTATTATAGCGAATGTCATTCGAGGTGACTGACCTGCTAGACACCCTAAAAAATACGGCGGGTATATGATTTGCATGGACGTCCGAAATTTTTTAAGTACTTTTCAAGTAATTTATTACTTTTTTTGCTTTTTCGGTAACAGTAATGAACGTCGTCCGCGATTCGACGCAGTCGGATTGCATACGTGATGACGTGCCCCAACCGTCGAATATTGTCTTAAAGGGTGACTACGACCAAAGTCGAGGAAGGTGACTGACCCGCTAGACCCCAAATACTATTACTACGGTGAACGTCACTCTAGGTGACCGAACTGCTAGATACCCACAAAAATTACTATATTATTTTTTTTATCAAATTTCGAATTTCCGGCGGCGTCGTCGAAAAGACTCTGTCAAAGACTCTGCCCTGGCTACCACAGGCTACCACGTCGAACCGCAGTGGTCCTAGCCTTATCACACATCTTTATCACCAGACCTCCACATCACCCATACACCGCGTCGGCTGAGACCCACGACCACACCACGAGACCACCGCTGCTTCCGAAATCGACAACACTCGGGGTCCGCTGACGGGGGTCTGGGGGTGTCCCCCAGCGACGCTCGGAGAGCTAGTCTTACTATATAAAACGAAAACCCGTGTGGCGCTCCCTATGCGTTAAATCCGAACCATCGTAAGAGAGAGCCAATGAGAAAATTCAATTTCCCCGGAGGGCGGTCTCCCGGCGGCGGCGGAGCCGTCGCTGCGTTATCACTCCTCCTTATCGCTTTTCACGATTTTTCTCGAAATCCACGATTTTTTTTCAAATTTTTCGTGTTTTACCCCTCCCGGGGGCCTCGGGCGGTCCCGTTCGGACCTTATTCGCGTTCCCCGCTAGATTTACTATTACGAGTACGCCGTACTCTTTTCTCTGCGGGCCCTCCGCGGCGGATATCACGTGCGAACCGAGCGCTTCCGTCGCCCGCGCTTTTTGCCGTTTTTTTCGAAAATTCGAGTTTTAGGCGTTTTAGGGGGTATCGACCTCCCCGTTTGGATCTTATTCGCGTTCCCCCCCAAATTTATAGTCGGCGCGCTGCCATATTTTTTCAAAAACGAGTATCCCGGCGGACGAATCGATCGCCAAGAGCGCCGCGTCTTCGCCGTTTCGACGGTTTTCTCGACTTTTTCGACTAGAGTCGCGTTTGGCCCCTCTACGAGTCTCCCGACCTCCCCGTCGGCGACGTATTCGAGTTCCTCGCTAAATTTATAGCCGGCGCGCGTCCTTACTTTTTCAAAAACGAGTCCAGGGGAGGTTAAACGTGAGCGGAAACGTGAGTAGGTACCGAGTAGGTATCGAGTAGGTACCGCTATATACAGGCATAAATACATGCGTCTCGATGTTCGATTTTTTTCGCGAAGCTCGCGTATTATACGTCCGAGGGCGGCGGAGCCGGTCGTCCGCTCGCCGAAGCGGTCGGATCGCCCGCCCATCACCCTTTGACGGCCGTCCAAACGGCGTTCGCCTTTCGCGTGCACGGCGACGCTGCTTAAGAGTCATAGATTTGACTCCGGTTTTCATCTCAATAGGTGGCTAGGTTGGTTAGGCGTTAGGACAGGTGACTCGAGGGTCGTGGTTTCGAATCCGTCGCCCGGAATTTTCGATAGTTTGCGGCGGCCGTGGTAAATCGGTTTCCTTTTTCTCGCGTTTTTTTTTTTCGTCGCATTTATCATTTTTAACGAGTGTTAAGTTTTTTTTCAAAGTTTGCGTTATTATATTATATGTATCGGTATTTATATATATTATTGTTCGTTTGACGATATTTATTGGGCAAAAAAATATTAATATATAATAAATTAATATATTAAATAATAATAATAATAATTATTAACATTTACTTGATTTTACCGTGACCGACGCACCTATATGTTTCTTGATATACCTACTTGATATATTACAGTTTTTATGTGATTCCGATTTGGTTAAATACTGCTAAATAATACTAAATAAATAGTGTTTAATACAATATTATCAAACTATATTACAAAATAGTACGGCTATATGACTTCTCCATTTGCCGTTTTTTTCGAAAATTCGAGTTTTACCCCCATCGTAGACTTGTTCGCGTTTACTAAATTTATAGTCGGCGTGCGAGCGTGTGGCCCTTCTTTTTTATGATGGAGTCCCGGGGAGGAGCGGCGTCGCTCAAAGCCGACGGCCCGCGGCGCCGCCGTCGAGTAGGTACCGCTATATACAGGCATAAATACATGCGTCTCGACGTTCGATTTTCTTCGCGAATATCGCGTTTTGAACGTCCGAAGGCGGCGGAGCCGGTCGTACGCTCGCCAACGCGGTCGGATAGCCAGCTCGAAAGCCCTTTGCGGACTTGCAATACCGCGTTTGGCTTTGGCGGGGACGGCGACGCGGCTTAAGAGTCATAGATTAGACTCAGGTTTTCATCTCAGTAGGTGGCTAGGTAGTATAGGCGTTAGAATAGGTGGTTTCGATCCCGACCTCCGGGAATATCGGTAATTTGCGGCAGCCGTGATAAATCGAACTTCTTTTTTCGCGTTTTTTTTTTCGGCATTTACCTTTCACTATCATTTCCGCCTTATCGTATTTAACGAAAATGTTCCGGTTTTTTTAAAAATTCGAGTTTTACCCATTTTTCAGACGTCGGACCTCCCCGCTAAATACGAGGTTAAATACGAGTCGCCTCCAACCCCTTTTTCACACGTCTTGGTAGGTATCACTATATACAGGCATAAATTGGGCGGACAGTGTCGTTATTACTATAGACATTCGATAATGCGTCATTATTGACATTATTATATTATATTTGACCGCCTTTTGCTCACTCGGTCGCGCCGTAGCTTCCTTATATTGTTATATCGGTATTCATGTATTTGATTTGGCAGAAATATACATCGGCCAGCTGTAGGTAGGTACTAGACGTGTATATTATAATAAATATAAATGTATAAATAATAAAATATCCTAGCTCGAGTCGAGTCGACTATACTATAGGTAGGTTTAATCATGAGCATCAAATCAAATTAATAACTAACCTACATATTGTATACTATGTAGGGCCTACTTAAGAGGACGTGATACCCAAAGTGAAACGTATAAAACGGCTAAGAGAATGCGCTGTTAAGTGTTTTCGCGATCCGCATGCACGCGGCGTTTAAGCCACGCCCATTCCTCGTAGTCGGCGGCCGGTCGACGAGTTTCGTTCTGGAGCGCCGTTTATTATTGTATGAACGTTCGTACCTTTCGTGTCATTATAAAATTCATTCGCGTCATTACTGCCGTAATATTTTAAATCTCCACACGTACCTATAAACTAACGATTATAATTTAAGTCACTGTTTATCTAAATATATGTACCATTGTACCAATATAAAGATCGTATAAACTTTATTATAACATAGCTTGATTTGTATTTATTGCATTATTACTTATTGAAATATACCTAATACCTACCTATAGGCTATAGTAAAATATAGTTTTATAATATCTAAATAAAATAAATAAATACAGCGTAATTTATTAGAAATAATTTAATTTATTTTTATTATTAACGAAATAGATAAAATAATATAGATTTGAATTTTAGAATTTAGTATTGATTAATTTTTTATTGATTTCTTTTTTTTGAATTCTTCAATATTTTGTATGATATGTGGAGGTTCAATTATATCATTTTTCAACATACGTTTAATGAACTGAGGGTCAATTAGCTCTCTTAACAAGCACTCTTCGTAAAATCTAAATTAAAATAATATAAGTAAATTTTAAAATTCAGATAAATTAATATTTTATAAACCAATAGACGTATTTATTAATAAATATTCAATAGACTTTATTGAATATAGACAAATAGAACATAATTATTCTGTAAGTACAACTTACAACTTTAGGCTTGATTCCATTTTTGAGGACCAAAATTCGTCATCATATTTTATTATTTCTAAGTGATTCCAGTTTGGAGTGTATATAAAGAAATAACAAATGTTACGTTCAGTCACATGTAATTGGCCTTGGATCTGGTAAAAATAATGACTTTCTTTTTTCAAAGTCGGTAAATTATTTTTAATTTTCATATAAGGAAGCTGAAATGGGAATATATAAATGTATATTACATAATAATTAATATTTGTTTTATAGTTATTTCCAAAGAATAAATTATTTATATTATTCTAATCCGTTAATTGTTAAAATTTTAATAAATGCATATACATTACCTTTTTGTCCGAAATAGCTTTTTCTAGACTACAATAATCTCTAACAGAATAAGGGCATTTAATTTCACATAGTTTATCGTCTTCTATTAAACCATCTGCAATTGAAGAATATTTATTTAGTTATATATCCAATAGAGTATGTGAAATCGATGCTGATCCAAGGTATACATATATATTAATAAAATATGTATTCATAAAGGCTCAAATGAATATTTATTATTTTCCATAACATTAAATTAAACTCTATAATAAACTAAATTATAAACAATCTCACCTGGAGTTGCTGCCAAAAATGGAATATTTTTGTCGACGAATAGACCACATTTATTAATTTTTTTTTTAATTTCCATTTGTAGTTGCATAAGTGCTTGTTGTTCAGTTTGAATACCATATTCTGTAGCACTGGTGTTTATACAACCATAAAGTATATTATGTACAGTTACTTTACATGAAGTGTAAGGTCTCATTTTGCACACCCTTCCAAAATTTGACGCCGATAATCGTTTTCTTCGTTCCTCAAACCACCTTTGATTTTTTGCTTGGTTTCTAGTTTCTAACTCTAACTGTACTTTAGATGCCTCCGAAAGAGTTATTGACTGTATAAATTCAAGCTTTTTAATTTTAAATTCTTCGTCAGATAAAAAGTCATTTAATGGCTCGGCCAATCCATAATTTTCATCTGGCCCGTTTGAAATTTTTTTTTTTTTTTGTTTATCACCTTTTGAAACAAAGAGAGCTCTTCGATATTTCAGACTTTTTGTTTTGTCTCTAGTATATTTTAAAAATTTTTTCCCAATGATTCCTATTAAAGCATAAAAAAATAGTTAAGTTAAATAATAAATAATTTATAATATAGGTAGTTATAGTTAAATAAAATAGACAAAATATATTACAGAGTATTTAAAAGAGTATTTTTGAGTAAAAAAATTATATAGGTACCTGGACTTTTTTTCGTAATTTTTTTATGGATTTCGCGAATAAATTGGCCACCCGAATTGAATGATACAATAGCTGCATGGACCCTAGTATTGTATGATTGCTTTTGGGTGAAATTTATTCGTTTACCAGCAATATATTTGTTGATGACGCTATTAAACTGCTCACAGTAGTTATTGTCAACATCAAATAATAAACTACGTGCATTATCGATTACACGACGAAGAATAGCCGACATTTCATTCATGAGACCGCATTTCACTATTTCTGGAACTAAATTTTTTTCGCACTCTTTTGGGCCACGACAAAAATATTTTTCACACAATGTATGCTGTCCAAAAATATGATACGGCCCATTTATAATATCTTTTCGTAAACCTAAAAATAAGTAAAGAATAAATATAAAATATATGTTTCATTAACAAACAATGTACCTATATAAACGAATAAATACCTTCAGTTTGTTCATAAAGAGACTGATTCAACTTTTTACGATATTGTATGGATTTTGTAATTGCCGTACGGAATCTAATAATATTTCTTATAATGAATTTTCGAATGTAACATGGATAAGAGGTTTTTTTTGTAAGTGCCATTAATTTTTGCCCATAATTCCTCAATATATGATTCCTGCATTCTATTTTTTCTACCAACATACGTGGTCCGTACGGCAATATTTCATTCAGACGTTTAGTGACACTACTGTCACCATCGCCTTAAATTATGCAACAATAATACATATTAATTATAAAATTAAATAAATATTTTTATAATTTTCATACTTACCAATCAATTTATTATACTTCAATCCATGCAATTTTACGCTACTTAAAAATCCTTCAGCTATTGCGTCTGCTTCAATGCTGGTTGCGCCTTTAGACCAGTTCATAAAACATTTATGAGCTTTTGAACTTTGGCCCATATTCTTGGCTCTTTCACAGATAACACAATATCGATTACGAATTCCCACAAATAAAATTTTCTTTGTCCGAAAACCAATAATTGTAGCCTACAATAATATAATAATTATAATATACCTAATATTTTAAAAATAAAAAAACAGTACAAATTTAAATATGGAAGGGGGCTAAGGGAATAAAAAATATCAATTTATATTTAAAATTGTTTTTATAAATTAATTATGACAATTTATTATTAGGGTCTATAGGGAACGGATTTTTTCGAAATATACAAATTAAAAAAAAATGTAGTAGGTACAATTATTAAAATTATAAATCTATTGTAATTTTTAAGTGTAGCAATAAGAAACAGCATATACAATATACATAGGTACATAGAAAGTAAAAAATGTATTTGTAACCAAATACCTATGTAAAAATATGAAAAATAATTATTAGATAAAATATTTAAATTATAATAAAGTCCTTTCTCTAGTTAAGACGCAAAATGCACAGGTATGTCAACTTGTACTCCCTCCAAATTATGCCCAAGATATTTTCTCAGTTCCCCCTTTCCCTGGTGCCAATGTTTACAACCATAACTTTACTTACCGCTCCTGAAAATGCGTCGTACTTGGTCTTATAGCTACGTTTGCTCCATTGACCATCAGCTATAACTGGGCACATGGGTATACCATCTTCATCTACGTCGCCTGCTTCTAATGCTAATCGTCTTTCCTCTATTCCGGCAAGTTTCATTACATTCCAAGCAGTCTCTTTCACTTCATCGCTCAAAGTTTCAGCTATTTTCATGTATGTTGTGTGTGTCATACATGGAACATCTATACTTGCTGAAAATTCGGCCACTTGAGTGTGTCCTATTCCTATCGCATATGTACCACTGACAACTGCCTTATTAATTGGAATACACCCCAAATCATTTTTTTCCGATTCAATTTTAGTCAACATATTACACATTTTACACTTAAATATCCACGAAGAAAAATACCCTGAACGAACCTCTTTTAAAAATTCACAATCAATAAAAGTGCAACCCAATCCTATGCCATGATTACCATTTCTAATTTGGTCAAAAATATGCATTACATCAACTATTCTTCGACCTCCAACACTAAAAATAAAAAATAACACCAGTTACAACCTACTTTAGACTTAAGAGGTAAATTTTAAAGTCTTTAATTTATTACTAACTTGTTTTCCACAACTTCATGAGATATTCTTTCGCTTTCAATTACATCAATATTTCTTTCAAAAACAACATTTAAATCGGGCATAATAGGGTTTGAGCTAAAATAATAATTCGATTTAAAAATGTTAACCAATAACAAAGACTTTTAAAATAATAAGACTTACTTTACTAAAGTTGAACATTCTGAAGTATTTGAGTTACTCAACACAATACCTGAGTCATTCAAAACATCATTTGCCGGAATATTGATTTCAACACTAAAATAAGACAAAATAGCGTTTGAACTATAGTTAAATTTTTGAATTTTTATCAATAACAAAGACTTTTAAAACAATAGGACTTACTTTACTGAGGTTGAACATTCTGGAGTATTTGAGTTACTCAACACAATTCCTGAATCATTACCAACATCATTTGGTGGAACATTTATTTCAACACTCAAATCGGGTAAAATAGTGTTTGAGCTATAATTATAATTCAATTTTTAAATTTTTAAAATAATAAGACTTAGGTTAGGTTACCTAACCTAACCTAGAAGTAAAACTTCAAAACTAAAATATAAAAAAGGTGACAAGTATATACCTATACTTATACCTATATAATAATATTATTTTGTACGAAAACCGTGTTTGAGTGGAGACGGTTTGTCAGCCTAGGAAATTTTTGATATGATATTATTTTATATTAGTATAACACGGTTAGGCTAGGTTTAAATTTAGTTGTAACCACATCAGCGGAAATCTGTGAAAAAAATCGGTTGGAATGAAAAAATATCAGTGCCTATCAAATAACATTTTTAAATTACGACGAAATAGCTAAAATCGTCATTCTTGGCTTTAATAATAATAATTGGTACAAATCTGAACTTAAAATAACTGTAAAAAAATCAGTGCATATATATTTTTTAGATTTTTTTTTACAGTATGAACCATGGAATCTAGTTTAAGACCTTTTTTTTAAGTTATTTAAATTTGTATTCTCTTTACAAAGTAAATATTTTTCAAAATATTTCGTTTATTTATAAGCTATAATTTATATAGGTATTTTGAAGTATTCAATTTTTTTTATAAATGTTTATGAACAGTCAATGTACTTGAAAGTTTACTAGGTACGGTTCACGAATTCACATAAGTTGTTCTGACTTTAATTAAAATATGTAATTTGAAGTACGTATTTTAATACTGAATTATTGACAATGAGATTTTCATAATATTTTTATGTTATTTTAACCTGCAGTATGCAATCAACAACCTGTCCTAATTTAAAAATAAAAGATATAAAAACGTAAATAATATACCCAATATAAAATATCTTAGGCTGACAGATCGTCGCCGTCAGTGCACATTTTCCACATTTTCTTGGGGGGTACTAAAAACAAAATTATTTATTTCCAAGGTATTATTTTTATGAAAACAAGAGTGTCTACTGCTAATTATAATAAGTAAATATAGTTATATATATTGGCATCTGTAGTGGCGGGGGTGTTAATCCACCCCAACAGAATTGTTTTTTGTAAAGGATAATAGAATTATTTTGATTTAATTATTGAATGGGTAGAGGCGTACAGCCCAAAATATTATTATTTTATTTTAATTTACTATAAACGTTTAAACATACAAATAAAGTATTTAAATTTCTAATATAATTTATATTAATAGGTACTTACTTTATTTTTTTGTATCTTCGTAGTACCAGAGAATTTGAGATTTTTTTTTTAGATGACCGTTTCCGTTTTAGATTATTTTCTTTATTTGCCATTATCAAAAAAATGGAAAATAATTATTTAAAACACAAAATTCACAATAAGAATTTGAATACGATGACACAGAAACCCCGAAGAAATGATCACATACCCAGGAGGATTGAGGAATGGTTGTGACGGTTGTGTAATGTGTTTCATAAGTAAATTAAAAATAAAATGAATGTTTATTTTTGTACAAATTATTGAAAATATAACTTACTATAATTAGTCTCATATTATGACTTTCGCTATCACAATTCGTAATGAGTCTAGGGCTAGGGACTTCTAGGAGTTCAATAATCATTCAAAACATAATTGAGTATTATAGAAATTTGTTTCATAGCAATATGAGTTTATAATCATAAATCATAATGTATTGCTGCATATTTTACATATTTGATCATATTTCATTTATAAGTGCATATTTGACCATTTGTGATATTAAGATATATTTTTTACCAGCAATAGGTATACCATTATAATTTATAACTAAATTCTGTAGGAAAACACAGATTTTTTTTAGGTAGTATATACTTGAATTACTACAAATAATGCATACTTTGAACTTTTGAAGTAGGTACCTAGTACCTATCATCTGAAAATATTATTATGTCCGTAATACATAATAATAATAATAATAATAATAATAAAATTAAAATAATCATACAAATAAGAGTTGGTAGATCGTATGCTGTCAATCATCAATGCCGATTATTATAATAAAAATAAAAATAATTCTTATTGCATTATAGTTTATACCGAGGTTATTAGCTTATGATATTGTCTATATTAGTTCAGTCCACGGCTTTAGATAGGTTAGCTTCTATCTAAAGCCGTGGTTCAGTCTATTCCTGGAAACGTCCGATAACCATCGGCAGACCGTCGCCGCGCGATCGTCGTATCGGAAATTCAGTTTTTGGAGTAGTGGGGGGGAAATTGCGGCCGACGTCGCAGCGGCAGGCAGGTGGCAGCACATTACGGCAATGAAAATTAATTCGAACAACATAAACATGTTTACGGAAAACAAACAAAACAGCATTAAAAAATGATTTTAGAGAAAAAATACCTATTATGAAATTTATAGAGAACAATATTTCAGAGACAACCTCATATGGGTTTTCTTCTATTTTAAATATACAGCTCGTTATAAATGGCACAAAAACCTATTTTTTTACATTTTTTAATCAACTGTAACTTTTTTAATAATTCATATTTCAAAAAACGCATATGAGGTTGTCTCCTAAATATTGTTTTCTATAAATTTCATAATAGGTATTTTTGCTCTAAAACCATTTGTTAATAGCGTTTTGTTTGTTTTTCGTAGACCTGTTTTTACCACTAAATATTATGGGTATCACGTCCTCTTAATATATTACAGTTTTTAGGTTACTAGATCGGTTGAGGTTATATATTAATGTTTCTAATACAATATAAATAAACTAATGACTTATATGTACTTTATAGATGTATGCATGTACTTATGTACTATAAGAATAGTCTATTGGTCTAAAAGTATAAATAAAGATAAACTAACGGATATTGCTTAAAGTGAACGCAGTTCTGTGGTTTGATTTATTATAAAAGACGTTCGATTCGGTCTGTATGTACTGTAGTGGTGTGTATCATAAAAAAAAATTACTTGGACCCCGTGTTACACGCCACTGAATTGTACTGTACATACCTACATATAATATTATAATGAAGTATTACACATATAATATAATATATATAAGATATAATTATTATTATGTACATAATATACAATAATATGCTTGAGACGTACGATTATTTATGCGAGTCGGACGGTTAATAATTACCATGATAATTAGTAATTACGAACGTCTCTTCAATGTATTGTTCTATGTCAATATCAACGATACACACTGGAATGCTACAGTATGACCATTTTTAATTGATGATACGGACCGGTGGGCGGAGTGGTGACGTGCAGGGGTCAACTTTTGCGACGCGAAACGTGCCTGCGTTTTCGAACGTCATCTTGTGACGAACGCCCGTGGAACGCACAACCGAAGCGCACAGAAAATCATATTTATAATATATAATATATTATTTAATTATTAGGCTTTTAGCTTTCTTAGATTTTCTTGGCGTATCGTGTTCTGCGTAGGGCGCTTTTCAAAACCGGTGAGTACAATTTTGAAATACATAATAATAATTAATAGTATAACGTTTGTATGGCCCGCGTACCTACTGGCTTATTCATGACGTTGTACGTACACGAGCTGGATTCATCTTCTTTCATTCGTGTACGATGCGTTTCCGTACACACGATATTGTTTATTACTATATTATTAAGTAGGTAGAGAAAGAGAGTTCAAACAGCTCATTCTGCTGGCTCATCCCTATACCCGTATGCTCATGGCACTATACCGTCTGCTCATGGCACTATACCCGTCTGCTCATGGCACTATACCCGTCTGCTCATCCCACTATACCCGTCTGCTCATCCCACTATACCGTCTGCTCATCCCTATACATTGACGGCTGATGAACCCACCATATATCACACACGATGTACCCCCGCCACCCCACCACCTATGACCACCGCGCGTGGAAAATAATTTAAAAATTTATCCGCCGGACCGTGATTCGAACCCGGTTAACTTGCATGACAAGCGACAACCGTACCACTGGGCCGCCTACTCGCATCTGTTTGAGAAGGTATATTCTATCTCATTTAACCGGCGTCCGCTTACGTACGCGAGGTATAATTTCCCCCACCACTATACCATTTACCCCCTCCCGATTAACCTGTAGGGACTTTTCGATGTCTCCCCCACCAATTAATATTTAATTTGCTCGTTTATGAACACAACTACACAACATAATTTCCCCCGCCACTATACCATACCAAGAGCCGCCGCGAACGCGCGCGCGAGCCCTCCGGTGCGTTATCACAGTGACTTTAACACAAAATAATCTACTGGTATATTTTTAACATTTTGTAGCTATCAAATACACCGAGACGGGTCTATTATAACAATTTATTGAGCCCAGAGGAAACAGTTGACATAAAATTATGTTAAGTTCTAAAAAACATTTCTTTACACAGCATGTATATGATGACCCTACCTTACTACGTTATATACGACAATTTAAAAAATGTGACATTTGTAGGCGTCGCTTGCAGGTATGGACGAGTTAGTAAAAATCCATGGTTCTAGATATTATGAAGATGTATTAGGTACAGCAGAATGTAGGGAAGTAGCTGTTAAAATATTTAAAATAGTACAAAATTTGTATAAAAATTAACGATGTATATACAGGTACTAATAAACGCTTCTTTACAACTATTCACAGCGTTATTATTTTTTTCCCTTACGTATAACATTCTTCTTTCTACAATATTTATAATATATATTTTATACACCACCTTCATATAGCTAACTATATCTCGTTAAACCATATGATGTATACCACACAACTGATACTACATGCTACAAGTTTGTTGAGCAGAGGCTGGAAATCTTCCTCCGCATAAAACTATATATAGTGATAATGTAAAATTTGTCTGATTGCGATAGTTCATAGACAATGCTCTTCATAGTTATAGAAATATACTTTTTCTCATCAAAAACATATATTACGAACTAGAATTAGTTGTACTCTAAACCTCGTATCAGTAGCTCATAACACGTAATAATCAACGCGATACTTTGCAAACTATGGACGCTGAATCGAGTAAGTATCATTGCCTAATATTTATATCCGGGATTTTTATTTTTATTTTTATTTTTTAAAGTCTTAGAAGTAATCGAGAGGTATTTTCATACCTCTCTAGAGGGTCTAATGACGCCTCATTGCGAGACGTCATTAGACAATCACCAACATTTTGAATGGAATTGTGAAGCATGCAGGGAAAAAAAAAAAAATTTCCATAAAAAATACCATATGTCAACTAGCATAGAATGGCGGGAATTTGTATACGATAAATTTAATTTAAATTTAAACCCTAATATAATTACAAATTTAAGTTTTATTAAGCCTGAGTTAAAAATATATTCGCATCATGACTTCGAATATTTTTTCCGGAAAATATTTCAGCAAACCTACCAATTAGTAGACGACCATGGTCACATTATCTGGAATGATAATTTGTTATCCGGGAGTGTGATGTGGTTACAAGATACAAGTAGGGATTATTGGGAGGAGGTATTTTTAAAAATAAGACGTTGTATAAATTATGATATAAGAAATTTAGAATTAAGGGGTTCATGTATAGCTAAAAATTATTGGGATCTTTTATTGTTTAGAATTTTTCAAAAAAAAATGGGGCCTATTATATCTATTATTAATAATTTAGAATATTTAGATTTAGACTTAAGTAATACTGTATATAATATTCGTAGTACTCCTATTTATAGTTATAATAATAATAGTGTATATAATTTAAATGTAGAATTAGGTAATTTAAGTTTAGATAGATTAATGATGTTGAGAGAATGGACTTACGGGTATGGTATTTTAGAAAATTGGAATATTTAATTGTAAATATATTTCCCTGCATGCGAAAAGTATATCTCATCTAGAAAAGGTAACTATACAGTCTTCCGTTATACGTTTGAGCCCGATTTCATAGTTTTTTTAACAGATGGTTTGAACACTATACCATACGGATATTAGTACACCCGATATATAGAACAATCCGACGACCCTGTATTTTGTCACGTGACGGGTATCAGTGGTGGCGGCGGCGGCGGTAGGGATTTTTGAATGAATGAATAGTCGCTATTCATTACTGTCCTCAGTTGGTGTTATAGTGCTCTATTACCTACATCTCGTTCGCTCTACGCTAATACTACGTACGTAATTATTATAAAACGTATTAATTTTTTCTTATCCGTTTATTTTAAAATGTTTAAATGCGAGCAATGTTCTTTGGGATTCGTATACGAGTCAAATCTGATCGCTCACCGAAAAACACATTCGAAATCGTTCAAATGCAGCAAATGTGCTTCGGAATTTACAGCGAAACGTAATCTGACAAGACACGAAA